ACTCTGAGTTTCGATAACTGCAACGTTAAACCCGCCAATATTTCACCATAACCATGTATTAGTGTTTAAACTGTGAGTATCTCTCCTCTCCAACTACTGCATTATGTTTCACATTCCTAATATCTATATACTCTCACACTGCTCAGTGCTTGGGCCATAATAAAATATTGTTTTTTACCCTCACCGACCGACCAAAAAGGGGCCGACTCAAACAATTTTATTGATTTTTTTTCTTTTCTTTTAACAAATTGTATCACTTTACATTGTATAAATCTGTAGGCAATACTTTATATGTACCAAGTAAAACAAAACATTCAATAAAAGGTATCTCCAGACAAGCACACACGAGCATGTTGACACCATGCTGAATTTGTAAAAAGACCCCCGCCCTCAAAAAAAGCGACCTACCTACCCAAACATTTCAGCCTGGGTCGGTGAGGGCAAGCAAAGTTTTTTTAATTGTGACCTTACTGACTGTAATCCTGCATATTGCAAACGCTATTAAACCATTAGAAGCAGAAAACCGATGTGAAATTTACTGAAGCCGTGAATATAACCGGCTGTATGTATAACCTGATGTCCTTTTACATTTATCTCTGCAGGTGCGGTGTGAGTAGCATTGCCGAGTGTGGCAAAGCTGGGTTTTGCCGCAGTACGAGAACATCCTAGTTGGCAACTTTACGACAGTATCGAATTCATCGTAAGTGGCAAACGTGAACCCGTTCAGAGAGACTACGTAACGTCACGTTGGTAACGTCAAGAATAATAATAATAATAATAATAATTGCCTTAGGAGAACGAAACGGGTCATACACAGGAATATATATATATAGGCCCCTATATATTAAACTGCGAGGCTACGCCTACGATAGCAACCACACCGGGAGCAGGATCTGTGTCGGGTTTTCCAGCAACCACACTGGGAGCAGAGTCTGTGCCGAGTTTTCCAGCAACCACACCGGGAGCAGGATCTGTGTCGGGTTTTCCAGCAACCACACCGGGAGCAGAGTCCATGCCGAGTTTTCCAGCAACCACACCGGGAGCAGGATCTGTGTCGGGGTTTCCAGCAACCACACTGGGAGCAGGATCTGTGTCGGGTTTTCCAGCAACCACACCGGTAGCAGAGTCTGTGCCAGGTTTTCCAGCAACCACACCGGGAGCAGAGTCTGTGCCGGGTTTTCCAGCAACCACACTGGGAGCAGAGTCTGTGTCGGGTTTTCCAGCAACCACACTGGGACCAGCAGGGAGAGTTTTCCTCACAGGTTTATTTGGCCGCGGACTAGCAGCCTTCAGCTTTCCAGCAAGCGTAATCGTGACGTTCTCATACACCTGTCGCGCCGCCACGGACGTAGATGGCGCCACTGCCGTCTCGACCGTCCGCGTTTCCGACGCAGCACCGGCGTCGCCTTCCCCGGTGTTTCTCGGCACAAACTCACACCGACGTTCGCCGTCTTCGCTCACAGAGACGGGCGCCATGTCTTCGTAAACGGAGGAGGCGGCGGCGGCGGCGGCGCGCGGCGAGCCGCGATCAGAGAGAGGAGAGCGAAGTTCCATGCTTTCATAGATGTCAGAGTTTAGAGGGCGCTGCTTAGAGGCGCGAGGCCGCGGCTGCGGAACGTTCTGATAGAGGCGAGGCGCCGGCTCGGCGGGAGCCGTCGCGCCGTGAGCTAGCCCTGAGGGGATAGAAACAGCAGAGGAACAGTGTGAGCGATAGACACAGCACAGCACAGCACAGCACACACACGCAGAGAGAGAGAGAGAGATATACAGACGGTACAGGCGGTCACACTCACACTGTGGTTAGGTTCTGCGAATAAAGATCGAGATATTATCGAGAGATATGTCGTCGAGCGCGCCGACGGAGAGGAGCACTCAAGAGAAGGCGCGTCGTTCCACTCGTGTACGTCCACGGCAGGAAGTAGCAGAAGAAGAATAACAGCCCGTACTGCCCCCTGCCCCGCCCCCCGGCAAACCACCAAATTTCCGCTGTTATTGCTCCCGCGCGGGTGTGCGTGCGAATTGGAGCGCGCTCGCGGTGTTTTCGACACACACTCTAACGTCGTCTCTCGCTCGTGCTCGCGATACTCTCACTGTACGCAGACACGCCGGCCCGCGCGCGCCGCACCGCCGCGTCTACGGCTGTTCGTACGCGGCTTGCGTCACGCGGCAATGCGCCACACACTAACACAAGGCCTGCGTCACACACTAACACCACGTCTGCGTCACGCGGTCGCGGCACTGCGTCACACACTAACACCACGCCTGCGTCACACACTAACACCACGACTGCGTCACGCCGCAGCGTCGCCGTATCGTGCGCGACGCAAGCAGCGCTGTCACGCGTCGCGCAAGCAGTCAGCCGAGCGCGTGGTAGGTAGTACACAGCTAGTGCAGGCGGTCACATCCACCGCATCGCATTCGAGTCTTGCGCGCCTATAGTGAGCGAGCGCACGCACCGAGCCGCGCTTTGCACGACGAGAGAGAGCGTAGTAAGAGTGTGTCTCGCTGGCCTCTCTCCACGCACAACGTACAGCGTTGTCGAAGAACGCGCCCCCCGACAGACGCCTACATCGCCTAAGCCAGGCTTAAACGCACGAGCGCAGACCGACCATTCCCCACAATCAATAGCCAAGCCGCCTTCTAACAGCTCTAACGTTGTCGGATGGATGCCTGTGAGGTCATCCAGAGTTCACGCGCTTTATAGTAAGCTCGCAATCGTAAGATAATAGTATTTGCGTAGCTGAAATGAGGGTCGTTTGCCGGAAAGGAAACACGGGAATACGTAGTTAGTCAACATGCAGCGATCAAGAGGCAACCAGAAGTGATTCATCGTAGGCGTAGCCTCGCAGTTTAATATATAGGGGCCTATATATATATATTCTGTGTAATGCCCGTTTCGGTCTCCTAGGCAATTATTATTATTATTATTATTATTCTTGACGTTACCAAGCGTGACGTTACGTAGTCTCTCTGAACGGGTTGCACGGTTTGCCACTTACGATGAATTCGATACTGTCGTAACCGTTGCCAACTAGGATGTTCTCGTACTGCGGCAAACCCAGCTTTGCCAGCCACTCGGCAATGCTACTCACACCGCACCCTGCAGAGATAAATGTGAAGACATCAGGTTATACATACAGCCGGTATATATCACGGCTTCAGTAAATTTCACATCGGTTTTCTGCTTCTAATGGGTTTAATAGCGTTTTGCAATATGCAGGATTACAGTCAGTAAGGTCACAATTAAAAAAACTTTGCTTGCCCTCACCCGACCCAGGCTGAAATGTTTGGGTAGGTAGGTCGGCTTTTTTTGAGGGCGGGGGTCTTTTTACAAATTCAGCATGGTGTCAACATGCTCGTGTGTGCTTGTCTGGAGATACCTTTTATGTTGAATGTTTGTTTTACTTGGTACATATAATGTATTGCCTACAGATTTATACAATGTACAGTGATACAATTTGTTAAAAGAAAAAGAAAAAAAATATCAATAAAATTGTTTGAGTCGGCCCCTTTTTGGTGGGTCGGTCGGGTGAGGGTAAACAAACAATATTGTTATTATGGCCCAAGCACTGAGGCAGTGTGAGAGTATATAGATAATAGGAATGTGAAACATAATGCAGTAGTTGGAGAGGAGAGATACTCACGTTTAAACACTATACATGGTTATGGGTGAAATATTGGGCGGGTTTAACGTTGCAGTTATCGAAAACCATCGATTCTTCAGTGAACTGATATTGCACTGATCTTGTATCTTGTATTGATATCAATCCAAGTGCTATTGAAATTAATCTACAGTTTGATGCGGCGTTCACGTTAAGTAAATCTTACCAGAGATCATCTTGCTGAACTCTGGCTCATACTCGCGGGCAAACACTGACTCCCTGGTGATTCCAGCTCCGAACGACGCCATGATGTCAGCAATCTTAAACAAAATATGTCAGAAGATTAACATGTAAGAAATCACTTTAATGACTACGCTGAAGATGACAACACTCGTAAAAACCTGAAGGGTACTCACCAATATATTTCACAAGCATACATAAATTAGGCATAAAATATTATTACCAATATTAATGGTATCATGACATATGATATATATATATATATATCATACAACACACTGATCCATAGTCTTATTACAATACGAACTGCAGTATTTACTGAACACTGTGTGAACGACACTAAAGTATTTCGCTCCGGACACCACAGTTAGAGGTACGAACGTGACCCCACGAGATAATGTCGATCTACGACATCAACGCCACCGCGACGCGACCGCTGCCTACACGAGACAATGTCAATCTACGACATCAACGCCACCGCGACGCGACCGCTGCCTACACGAGACAATGTCAATCTACGACATCAACGCCACCGCGACGCGACCGCTGACTACACGAGACAATGTCAATCTACGACATCAACACCACCGCGACGCGACCGCCGCCTACACGAGACAATGTCACTCTACGCGTATTCTGAGGCGTTAGTATTCCCGTTATATCGCGTGCAAACGACGCGCCGCTAGACATCTATATCATATATATATATGTATTATAGAAGTAAAATCACACACGAACACCCATGTAGATAAAAAAACAAATTCAAGTAATAGGTTAAGGGTGCTACCGACTGTTACGCGAGCTTTCGAGATGTACACATGAGAGGCATCTTTCGAGAGGCATATATTATATATATATAGTATATAGATATCATATATATATATATATATATATATATAGATATATATATATATTAATGGAGTACATTAATAGACACTCATTAGACATCATAGAGACATCTCTATTATGTACTCTTGATTAATATATATATTATATATATTATATATATATATATATATATTATATTATGTATCTGTGGTGCGAATGGCGCGTCTTCTTGCGCATGTACAGGTTTTTTGCGCCGCGGCCGGTGGACGACAGGCGCCGTACCGGCGATGGAGGCTGCGCATCCGAAAGTTCTGTAACAGGGCCAGCATCGCCGCAAGCTCACAGCCTGCTGCCGGAGAGGTCGAAATTCTGAACTGCCACTCGCACGCACACACACGTATGCGCGCGACACCCGCACGCACGCACACACATACGCCACGCGCACGCACGCACGCACGCATCATACAACCACGCACACACACACACACACACCACACACACACACACACACAAACACACACACACACCGCCACGCACACGCGCGCACACACACAGACCTCTTTCACTTCTGGTTGCCTCTTGATCGCTGCATGTTGACTAAACTACGTATATTCCCGTGTTTCCTTTCCGGGCAAACGACCCTCATTTCAGCTACGCTCAAATACTTATTATCTTACGATTTGCGAGCTTACTTATAAAGCGCCGTGTGAACTCTGGATGACCTCACAGGCATCCATCCGACAACGTTAGAGCTGTTAGAAGGCGGCTTGGCTATTGATTGTGTGGAATGTGTCGGTCTGCGCTCGTGCGGTTTAAGCCTGGCTTAGGCGATGTAGGCGTCTGTCGGGGGGCGCGTTCTTCGACAACGCTGTACTGTTGTGTCGAGCGTGGAGAGGAGGGCCAGCAGAGACACAACTTACTACGCGCTCTCTCTCGTCGTGCAAAGCGCGGCTCGGTGCGTTGCGCGTCGCTCACTATAGGCGCGCAAGACTCGAATGCGATGCGGTGTGGATGTGACCGCCCTGCACTAGCTGTTTACTAACCTACCAAACGCGTCGGCTGAGCTGCTATGCCGCGACGGCGTGACCAGCGCTGCTTGCCTTCAACACCACCCCTCCGCAACCCGAAACTACCCGCTGTCTGCGACCTAGGTACAAAAGGCTATTATATAAGACTAGGACTCGCCTCCCCAGCTTCGATTAGCCATTGAGTGACCAGAGCCAAGCCGAGAGATCCGGGTGAGGAGGCAGTTCCCTGGCCACCTCTATGGGTGCCCTAGTCCCAGGCGCGCGGGCAGCCGGCCGCACCTGCTTTACAAAACTCCGTATCGCAGCCTCGCTACTTGGAACCTTGCAAAACGTTGCGAGCGATTCGGGGGCGCGAACGAGCGGCCGGTAGGTGTTCCTGATTCTGACAAGCCTCGTTCCAATTACTGGCAAGTTCGCGAATGTGCAGAATTTCGACACGTCTTTTTCTGGTGATATTCCGGCGTGACACAAGCTCGTTACAGAACAGCAATTACTAAACGGTTACAGCCTTTTTTAAAACAGAGTTGAGAACACTGTTCACGTTCCCAAATGCTCTGCCCTCTGTGTCCCCCACTAAAAATTGCGGACTGTTCGGTGTCCTGCAGCTATGGGATGTCGTGCGCTGGCCTATGGTGCATTAAATCTGGTGCGCACGGATCCTGATAGCTCGCCATGTGCGACTGCCCCGACTACTGTCGTTAGGACGTTCCCGCGGTCGCAGTGGCCTTGCCGCGGAACTGCCGCGCGAGATCACTTCCGGATTAACACCTCCTTTACGCCCAACGCTTCTCTAGTATCCCATCTCATCTGGTGAATAAGCTCATATTACATTCCTTGTTACGCTTAGGACAGCCTGTAGCTGAAGTAGTCAGGAGGGGGTTGGGTCGATTCTTATTGTCCTGAGCTGCCGTTTAGCCAGCTCTGCTGCGTATTGCTATTTTTACATCTAAAGTAGTCTAAAAAGGTTATGTTAATTTTTAATAAGTTCTTTAGCCTCATCTGACGTGATCCAGATGCAGCTTTAGAATTCGCATTCGTTCCGCCCGTGCGTTCCGTCGAACAGTTCGGGCACAAATCTTACATCGCTCTATCGTACGGTCACGATATTCGGCCGACGTGGCGGGTGTTAATTCGACAAACGAGTTTGGCGATGTCGAAAGCTGGGGCCGGTCAAAGCAAAGGTCAAAGGTGTAATTAAGCGTGGGAACATTCACTCCTTAACTTAAGCGGTATAGCGGAAGGAAAGTGCAGAATTGCCGGCACAAATCTCTAAACGGCGACCTAGTGGCTTCGTGATTTAGGCGGTGATTAATGCTAGGGTGTTCAATATCATGCCGTAGTGGAAAAAAGACCATCACTGCTGCTGGAATATGGAGGTCACAGCGTCAAAGCAAAGGCAACTAGGGTGTCAGCAATTCCTACCACATCCCTTCGAGGGGACATGCGTCTGACGGAGCAACTGGAAAACTTTTTTTCGTGTTCAGCGATGAGCCTACCATTTTTTATGGCATTATTAAGAAAGACATGAAAATGTCTGTCTCCACTGACTGCCCGAAGAAGTAAGTGCTGGATAACCTTATTGACCCCTCAAGGAGGATTTAAACAATGGCATTTGTGGACTTTAACAAAGGGAGTGAGACTGCTTTGCTATTAGAAGCCCCCACCCCCACCATTCCCCTTCCCCCACCCTCCCCCACCCCTCCCACCACCCTCCCCCTACCCTCTCATCTGCATATGGGCGTGTACTAACAATGATGTGCTACGCTAACTGACCGTGGTCATGCCATATCTGCGCCTAATCAAATGTTTTCCCGCTTCCTCAATATATTGCAAAAAACGACTCGAAAGTTTACGTTTATAATCGTCAGCAACAACCTCAGGATGAGCCCAGACGCTTTGCGGCCTCATTGTAATATTGAGCAGTATCTGCTCATTATTCCTTTATAACATAGACCAGACCATGGTTATACCTGGGTTAACTGAAATCCAACTTCAATACACTGCGTTTCCACAATCTGGTTGGTTTAGATATATCATATTATTTTTGGTTTCACCACACTTCCTCACTAAACTTTTGTCCACCCTTCTGATGAACGGAGCATTTTTTGCCCATGAATTCAGTTATTTTAATCTTTTGATTTTTGAAACAAGTTCTAAACGACCTCCCATTACTGATGTCTTCTCTATGCTAACTCACTGTATTCTAAGTCTACGTATTGTATTAGGAAACAAATCCAGGCGATTTTGTTTTCAGTTGCTCAAAATCTCCCTCGACACTCCAAGACAACTTATGCTAAAATATCACATAATTTTTTTATGTCTACCATTTTTAAGCCTCCATATTCATAGCTTTGACAGTTGAACTTAACTTATTGGGGGTTAATTTGTTGTTCCAAAATAAACGCTCTGCGAGAACATTTTATCAAGAGTGCTATACTAGAGAAGAGAACTCCACTGACGTGCGTTCCTTTAATCTCAGCGTTGGCATAGTTACCCTCAAACAATCCCCTTGTATATAATATTATCCCCTCCATCAATATTTGTGAATAAACTCATATTCAAACTTTACAATGTTTTCGTCTATCATTCTCCCTTAATCATCTATGACACCCTCACCCCAAATTTACCTTGAAAATCGTATGTTGTTCTTCAAAAAAGTTATTTTAATCCTGCGCCCACGTTTCCTACAGTTTTCACCAGGCATGCATTCCCAGACCAATGTTTGTTTACTGGGATTAGTGTTCTATTGTCTATGACCGTACGCTGGATCCGGTCCGTAAGCCCGATATCAGTCTCGCTTATGCAGCTCTCGCTCGGCTCCGCCACAGAGAATCCTTTTCCTCGGTAACTCGTCCCCTTAATTCTGCACCGCGAACCAAAAACTTTCGTGATACTTAACATTCTTGGAGAATTTGCTGCGTAACCAAAACCAGGTCGCTCCGACGCATTTAGTTTGACCTTTTACCTTGACCTCTGATCATATTTCCTTTCGCCTCTTGTAACTCGCCCCTAATATGACTAGCGCTACCAAACTTGGCTATACCTTACACATCTTGGGACCGAAAGTGTTCACGTATCAAACCAGGTCACTCGACCGTTTACTTTGACCTTGACATTGACCTATGATCATATGTCCCTTCCAGCTCTAGGACTCAGGCCCCTAATTGACTAGTTGCTAACCAAAACTTTGGTTCATACTTACACCATCTTCTGGAGAAGCT